AAATCATAACACTTATACCATAACATTACCAAATCAACATAACAATTACACAAGTAAAAGTAATCAAAAAGAAGTACATTATTAACCTCAAACGTTTAATTACACTATATCACAACCTCAACCACAAGAAACACCACAAGACGATGAACCCTCAACATTAACATTATTTTATAATAACTGGAGTTCCTAAATTCAAACATCTTTAAAATCTTTTATCTATATTAATAATGATTTACATAAGTTACACCCTGTTAGATTTAAATGTTTGTTTGTTAGTAACCTACCGTTTTCTAATTATATTTTTACCAAACTATTCTATATAAACTGTATTATAACTACATGTTATTTATTAGATATTTTGTGTTCAAGAAAGGTAACTTGATTATTTTATAATTTAATGATTTTATTTTGTAATATGTTTATACATATCTTTACCAAGAGATGTAACCCAAAGACTGGAAATACAATTTGTTTTAATTTAAATTTAAGTATTGTTTTACCTCAATATATTCTTGTAGTCCTTCATAAATTGCATCAAACACAAAATATCTAATAAATAACATTATTTTATAATAACTGGAGTTCCTAAATTCAAACATCTTTAAAATCTTTTATCTATATTAATAATGATTTACATAAGTTACACCCTGTTAGATTTAAATGTTTGTTTGTTAGTAACCTACCGTTTTCTAATTATATTTTTACCAAACTATTCTATATAAACTGTATTATAACTACATGTTATTTATTAGATATTTTGTGTTCAAGAAAGGTAACTTGATTATTTTATAATTTAATGATTTTATTTTGTAATATGTTTATACATATCTTTACCAAGAGATGTAACCCAAAGACTGGAAATACAATTTGTTTTAATTTAAATTTAAGTATTGTTTTACCTCAATATATTCTTGTAGTCCTTCATAAATTGCATCAAACACATCAGGTATAAATTCACTGATGGCTGATTTGGAAACTCTATATAAATATTGCAATGATTTAAAAAAGTCTCCCGTTGCTAGGAATCTCAGTGCAATTTCCAATTTAATTTGAGGGATTAATGACATTCTCATCATTGTATCTTGCTTCTTCAATCTATGTTCAACCTATGTAGCATAAAATTACAAAAATAACAATTAATATTTCTACTATATTAACTATTTAGGTAAGTACTATCATTATATGTTACCTTAGCTAGTAAAATATTGAACATAGTTTCATCAATTCTCAGAAAGTTGAAATAACTCTTTGGATCTTCAATTGCCAACTCTTTTATTAGTGTGTTAGATGCCCCCAATGTGTTTCTACGCATTATCCATTTTTTCGTCCAAACRCGTTTTTTATTYTTTGATGTTCTTGATCTTTTTAATTTAATTATTTCTGCTACTACACGTAGCATGGCAATAGTGATTTCATTTGAYATTTTTAATGAATATTTGTAAAAAATGAAAGTATAYATTCAATATTCACAATGTTGTCACTAATTTTTAACTTTATTACTTTTTACCTTTTTTTACCTTGTTTTTATTCACACTACGTCCCTACTATCATGTATTCTACTGTCAGTGTACTATCATAATGTGGATGCTTTATCTCATGATAGTTACTATCACGGTACTATCACGATAGCGACTCTTGTGAGAGTAACTATCATCGTGTGGACCCGGCTTTAACTGAAAACACCGCCACCGCAAGCGCTGTGACAAAGCACGCGYGTACGGTAAAGCCGGGTCCACACGATGATAGTTACTCTCGCGATAGTTGCTATCGTGATAGTACTATCGAATACTATCGCCGTGTGAACATGTCAATAGTAACTGTCCTTAGATCATATACAATGGATAGAGCTACTATGATAATTTCCCGTGTCCAACATAACCCCCCACTTAATTTGTAGTTTTGAGGAACAWACTACTTGTGCGCATGTGCATAGGAACAAGCCAATCAGGGCAATGGCGCCAAATAATAATAGTTTAAAATAAAATGTATACAATAATGTTATATATTTTAATTATTTGATTGTTATTTTAATTTGTATAAATCAACGTCTGACGGCAATTTTACAGATTTTAATTATTAATTTTAGAATATTATGCTTTTCACTAAAGTTAAGGTTATTTAAACCTTATAAGATACAAATGCAAAAAWAATWAACTACATTAATATGATAATTAATAATAAATTAWAATATCTATACAGTCATTATATTATATTGTCAATAGTTTTGTCGACTATTGTATTATTTATGTAGGTTTGTAATTATATAAAAAAAAATAGTAAGTATAATTAAAATAATATTGTGTAATGAGTATTATGAGTACCTAGGTATTATTGATTTCTAAATAAAATTAATTTTGTAAATTTTCGACGTATACTTCTCCCCGAAGTTGATAATATATGCATTTTGGCATAATGGTGTAATCTTATCTTGATGTAATGGCGAATTATTAATTGAATTAATTGTGATCGGTGATTATCAAAAACATCTTGATTTAATATATGATTTCTCATTGTGTCTGAATTAAATATTGACGTTTCTAAACAAACTTCGTTCAGTGATTTAATGCACAACATTTGAGTTATATTTTTTTTTGTTAGAAGCATGTCATGATGCATTCGAATTACATATTCTGTTGCAGAGATTCTAATGTTAATTTAGTTTCAAATGACTCAGGATCCTTAAACAAATTCTTAAATGAATATTTCATTTTATTTAAAAGTAGAGTCATACATCACAATATATTGATTCTGTACAATCACAAACATACATTACTTAATTAAATGATTATAAGCCAACAATATATTGTACCGTACAAATTCATAAATTAACKGAAATAGAAGAAATACTTTTTAAAACTAGAAACATTTTTATCAAAACAAGAAATAACTAAATGTAAATTTATAAAATAAATGTAAAAATAATAAACATTTATTCTTGAATCAAAAATAACATAATGATGAAAGTTTCTATTTAAAGAATAAAATTTTATCAATTCAACCACACAGAAGAAGTCTCACAACAAAGTCAACACATACAAATTATATCACTACATTCAACAATTAATTTAAATACCAAATTAAATATTTAATCTTAAAGTGTTTTTCTTTGTTTTCCATTTAGATCTAGGGAACAAATAATTTGAAACTAGAGTAATTCTAATAAAAATAACTACGAAAAACAACATTATTTCTAGTGGATAATATTAAGAACTTACATCATGGTTTATTGTTCTATTATTATATGGATATGTTAGAATAAATAAATATGAACAAATTATGAAATAAACAATATGTAATATGGTTTTTGCATTAATTCAAATCTTAGAATTATACAAATAAATATAAAAATATGAAGTAATTTTTAATACAATTTTACATGTTTGATATTTGTACAAAATCAGCAATAAAAAACTAAAGATAAAAAAAAATGATTAAATTAAGTGAATAATATGGATGATTATGGTCCAATCCATAATAATTCTTAAGTCTCTCATTAAAAATATTAAAAAATATGGTATTTATTCAGATGTTCACTTAATAGCTAATTAATGTCTTATAATTGCCTTTATAGCTAACTGTAACATTTTTAACCTGCGATTATAGGGATTTAATGGATACTGTAGAACAAATTTCTCGACACTAGAATCCATCTTGATCAAAACTAAGCTTGTATTTTCTTTGTGGTGGTCATTGGTATAGTCTAAACTTACAATTGCAGCTTCCAAATACCTTTATAATATGATATAATTAATAAACGAATAAACAATATTAGTTATATATTACAAAATAAAATAATTACTTATGCTTTAGTTCAGTATTATTCGTAAGATCATGGGATAATTGTTGAATCAGTGATAATACAATAGGAGTTTTTAAAGCGTTTGGTGGGGTGAAAAGTAGTTCTGGTTGTACTTTTTCACAAACAAACAGTACCAGTTCTAATTTTGATGCAGACAAAGCCTAAACAAAATAAAAAACACTATGAAATTCAGAGTTGTTTTTGATAAGTTAATGTACATATATATTTATGTTTGTAATTTAAAAATTTTATTAGCTATATAAATGATCTTTAATAATTAAGTAATAATAAACAAAATGTTTAAAATAAAAATATAATATAATATATAAAACTGTGTTAATCAATTGATAAAATTAAATGAATATTTTGGCAATGTTACCAATTGTTTTATTTTTATGTTATTTACAATTCATTATTAGTCGTAAAAAAACATGTTTTTTTGTAATGATTTGTTTTAAATATCAATTGATAAATCCAATTTATCCTTAAAAAAAACTTTAAAAAGTTTAAGCAACTCTAGATGTAAAATTAGATATAATTTCTCAGGTTTTGTTAACTATTTTGTATTTGGAATTTGTAACAATCTAGTCAAATTAGACGAAAAAACAAGTTCAGCTCGAAAAAATTCCTACCTTGTTGAATTTTGGTGAACACCTTTATGACATCGTTTAAAAATCGCCATTTATATCATGTACGCGTCAAAGGTTATTAGAAGTCAAAGGTYACGAAATTTGCCTTTTTTTAAATATCTTACTTTTTATGAGTCGTACAATAAAAAGTTTTAGTTATAAATTGTGGAGTAAGTAATTATCTACAAAAAAGGTCTTATGACATTTTCACGTAAAAGTTATAGTTTTTGGGTTATAAGGCCATCAAAATGTACACTTTTAATGAAATATTATAAATTTTTTGGTAAAAACAAGAAACCATTGCGTTAATATCTCGCTTTATACTGGTTGTACAAAAAAAACTTTCAAACAAAAATTGTAGAAAACAAAATTGTSTACAAGATGATTATACATATAAATCCARTCGCACTTGCGGTATATGAATTTTAATATTTACAATACAAAATTACAATATTATATATGCAGTATAGTACTTCGGTAGTTTAGTATTTAGTTGTGTTAGGTCCGGTCCGTACGAACGTCGTCACGTGTTCATTGTGAATATTGTTTTTTGTGAGTTTTGAATTTATTTATAAGTACTGCTTGTTTATATTTATATAGCCTACTAAATTGCGAGTAATTGTTTTATTTATAAAACCTCCCTATCGGTCGGCGAAACTGCAAATGATTACAAACGTTGAAAAATACTCCCAATGGAACGGAAATGGACATTAATGAGTCTTTGTATTGAGTGTCGTAAACAAAATACACACAAGAGAAACATTACCATATCAAAAAGAGGACGTGAATAAAGCGCTACAGGTCCATCAGGTCTTTCACCCCATAAAAACGAACAAGTAAATTTGATTTTCAAACGCTATGCTTTGTTTGTGGTGATGAAGCCAAAGAAGATATTAAGAAAAAAAAAACGACAAGAATATGGAATGAAAATTAAACAGGTCAGCACACTTACATTCAAAGATAATATTGTAAGGGATAGAGTTCATTTAGAATATGATTTAGTAGCTAAATACCATGATWATTGTTTAATATCTTTTAATAAATATAAAACTGATGGAACAGTAGGTAGCTCACGTGATGAAAATATAGCTAAAATATGACTATTATTTATATATTATATGATGAATTATAAATAAAAATATTACTTTTTCAAATGCCAGTGCATAATCTCCTTGTTTTATAATATCAGATAAAATCATAAATTGGTTGGCAGTATTATCAGTGTCTTTCATACATGGTTCAACTTGCGACTTCTCTTTAAGTAGAATTGAAAATTGTTTTTGCAAATCATTTTGAGTACTAATAAATATAGAAAAAATTATTAATCAATAAATTATAATTATGTTAGATCCAATTATTTACAAAAATGGTACCTTAATATTTTTTTCTCTGTATTTTTGATTATGTTATTCATGTCACCCCTGAATTTATCAAAAGCGTATTCTAATTTGTTATTGATATTACCATCCTCATTGAGTAGAGACTTTAATTCGTTTTGATCTAAGAATAAAAAAATGTATAAAATGTTTATATGTTTTATTATCAACTTACATTCTAGCGATCTTTCTGTAAAGGATGCATCAATTTGTTTGAACATGGAACAACAAGCATGTTCAAACTTAGGTATAACCGTACTCATAAAAAGATCTTTTAGAATTGCATCAAGAGTTGGATTTAAAGARGCAACCAAAGACCTTGTAAATAATTCTGTATCTACCTAAATGTATAAATATAAATTTATAATTATTTAGTTACAATACATTCTTAATCAAGTAAAGTAGAAAGGTAACATAAAATAAATGAATACTAMTATATACTAATACTAATACTTGAATTACGAAATTAAAATTTTTTATCATTATAGAACACAGTAATTTTAACTATAATACGAGTTTTTAAGAGTTTATTAGTTTTTTTAAAGAGAGAATTACAATTTTGTAATAACTAATAGCTATATTAATAAAATATAAATATTTAAGTAGTTAATTTGGAATTTATTTTTATGTGATTAATGGTTATATTAAAAAATTCTTTTATACTTTATTAGAGTTTGTGGCTTTGACAATCTCTGTTATTTTTTTATGTGAGGTATTTAGTTGATGATCTATCATGATTTGAAGTTTCCGATGTGATTGATCACTAGCATTCTTGACCATATCTTTAATAAACAAAAATTTGAAAAAAAAAACTCCATCAGTGAGCTAATACAAAGTAATTAAATTTATATTTACTCATCAAAACTGGTTCTAGAGTTGCACATAAACTAGATGAATTTATTGACATAGCAGCATTAATTTGACTATCTATTTTTTTTTGTTTTTTTGATATACATTTTAATTGAGTGTTCATCTCATGTAAACTTGTTAAAATATCATCTATTTGACCACCAATTCCATTATCTACTATATCAGACTTATCCAAAGGTCGCCTTATTGTTGAGATATCAGAACCATTAAATACAGAATTGTTTGAATAACAATTGTTTTCTTCTTTCTCATCAATTTCATTAGAATAATTACTCACAGTTTCAAAATTATCAGTGTGTGTTTCCATATAATTGTATCTAAAAAATACAAATTTTGAAATAATACAAATAGTAATAAAAAAAAGCATTTAAATATGTATGCTTTAACATAAAAATTATTATTATAGATAAAATATCTGTATTTACTGTAATTTTTGGTCAGTATGTTGCAAAATAGTCTGAACTTCATTATTACTTGGACTACATTCTCTAACTTTGTTCAAAACAAAAGGATCCTAAAACAGTTAAGACAAAAATATATGTACCTAAATATATATAACATTATCTTTCTAAATAAATTTAAAACTAAATATTAGTTCGGTTTGAACATTTTATCCATAAAATGAATTTAAAAATCTAATTTAAATTCATACATTATAATAATTAAATTGTTTTAAAATTACTTGTGTGTAGGTATATGTATTTGATGATTGAACAATAATTGGTTTTATATTGTTGTAGCTATCCTTTTTCCCATTCTGAATCTAAAATATTCAACATGTTTTAAGATACAAATCATAATGCTGAAAAATAATCAACAAATTCATACCTGCATTGAATTAGAAGGAATAGGAACACTTTTTTGGTCAAGGCTTATTCCTTTTAATCTTAATTTTTCTTTTACTAAACTATGAATTTCCATTGGAGTAAGATCATGTAAAATAGTATTCTCTTCCTTGTGTTTTTGAAAGTCTTTATCTGTAATACACCGTGAAAATAATTTTAATTAAAAATAAATATATAACTATGGTTTAAAAGGAACTTCAAAATGTGACATAAAATACAAGTAAATAGACTCAAAAACATTTATATATTAAGGATAACTAATGTCTATAATATGAATTCATACACATACATTGCACATAAATTGCATGTGAATTCTTAAATAAATATATGTAAGATGCAAGTAATATGGAATTAAGGAACATTTACACATTACTCRATATATTTAGTGTTACCAAGATAATTTAATCCGAAAAAAGAAAAATGTGCTTTTTATTTCATTAAGTTTGTTATTACTAATAATTATACAATATTTTTGAAAAAAGTACTAATTTAGTATCAATCATAACATTATTATTGTTTATTATAATCTGAATATTTTTAAAGCAATTATAAATAATATAATTAAAGATTTTAATGTTTTAAAACAATTATATACTAAAAATGATGGCAAAAAATTAATAAACCTCAGGCATGTCCAAGATTAATAATAATATTTAAATTATTTAATTCAAGTAAAAAAAATTATTCAATTATTTAATAAGTCAAATTAAAATCCAATTATAAAAATACAAAATATGATTTACGTTCATTAAAGTTCTATTGATGCTCAACTTATTTTAAAKGTATCATTATTCAAAATATAACAACTTGCAAATTAAAAAATTTTGGGATACAAATCATACATTTTAATATTGGTACTTTAATACTAAAATCAGCATATTATTGCTTGCTAAAGTTAGTAATAAAATATTCAAGACATTTAATTTCTTATAATTACTTTCAGAACTATTTGCTGTGGGATTAACTGATTCACTAAGAAGATCTAACACTGGTGGTTTTGGGAATATACTTGTAGTTTCAATTTTATTCTGATCCTTATATTGTTCAGTAGTAGATAATTCTGGAGATGCAATRATTAATTKACCTTCTTGTAGTGACTTTGGTTGTATTGCAAATAAGTTAATAACTGTTGTATAGTTACTAGAACTGGTTGAAATACAATCTGTAAATTAAAATTATATTATTTGCGTTATTTATAATAATATAATAAAAGTTGATTCAAAAACAACATACTTGAATTGTGATTTTCTGTAATATCTAAATCATTATGATTAATTTTAGCATCAACAATTATCATATTTAATATGGGACTTTGTAGCAAAACTTCAGTAATGCCAACTATTTTTATGTTTTTTTTAGCAGATTGAATGTCATCAGCTACCTCCATGACATATAATAACTGAAAGAAAGTAATTAATAAATTTAAAACAAAAATTTAATTAATAAATATTAACATACATTATTTTCAATGTCACTTAAAAATATATATCTTCCAGTCCCATCAACTGTGAGCTTCATGGGATTTAGTTTTGTAACAGGTCGAACAAATGTTATTGTTTGAATAGATGTCCATGTTTCACAAGACCATAAAATGATTTCGTCAAGATTAGATAAAGTCACTACATACTTCCAAAGTTCAACACTACAAACATTTTAATRTATACACAATTCGTTTATTTTAAACATAAGAAATATTTAAAAAAAATTTATAAGGCTGAAGAATTACTTACTCTCCATCAATAATTTTACGGTTGTCTAAAAATGCCAAAGATTTTAAAGAACAGAATATTTCTTTAGGATGCCAAGTAAATACACGTTTTGGTGTATCAGAAATATGATCAAAMGATACCTAAAAAATAATAAAATTAATGTTTTTTACTCTAACAATAATAGTTCTCTATTGCTTACTTGATAGAAATAAATAGATCCATTACTTAATGCTAATGATATATTTGAACCGTCGGGAGAAAATGATAAACTAATAATATCAGCTTCTTTCAAATTGATTTTTATTACTGCATTCTTAATATTATTTAAAATATTTTTATCCATTGATTTATTTAAATTGATATTGGAAAAAACTGGACCATCTGTAAAATTGCTGGCAATGCCGATATGCCATATTTCAACCTTATAAACAAAAATAAAAAATATTAACAATATATTATAATTTCATAAACCAAGATTGAAATTAAATTATTCTTACTTCTGAAGCACGAACCACTGCCAACATTTTCCCTTTATAAGTTGGTTCAAATTCAAGTTCTTTTAAATAATTAACCTGTTCCGGTATATATTGACACCAAGATAATAAATATTTATTCTTAAAGCAATATGATGGATCCTAAAGAAATGAAATATGTTTGATTAATTTATTATTAGTAATATACTTAAACAAATTATAAAAAACAACTATTAAATACACTGGTGGTTGGTTGTGATAAAATATAAAGTTAATAATTTTTTAATACCTAGAAAATGTATATAATTTATTATATAAAATATAAAATAATTTATAATTAGCTACATAGTATACTAAATTGAAAAAAAAACATACGAAACAACTAAGAACAATTTTAATGAATGGATGAATGCATGAATGGAGCCTATGGAGGAATTAAAAAATTGTCTTTAGAAATGTAGTTTTCTTCTACTGATACTTTTTTTATGTATATTCAAATGAAAGCCTAGTATGTAAACTAAAAACCACTTCTTAAATACTTAAGATTTAGCTATAACTGCATCAGAAAAAAACAGTTAATTAAGTTCAATACTCACTCATGGCCTGAAAAATTTTAAATATTATATAGAACTCACCGAGCCCAACACAGGTGCCAGATTACAAACACAAGTAAGAATCTCATCTTAATAATAGACAAGAAATAAATTAAAAATACAATAGAGGAACATAAATCCTGTACATACACAAACACCTAAACATCTCTAGTCTTTAACCTTTAATGACAATTGTWACATCAAAATGAAAAACACAATACAGTATACTACTCTTATTAAGGAAACTAACCGAGGTACAAGACAACTACAGGAGCTTACTATAGACTTTTAGAACTAGATGGATCATTAGGTATGTTAAACATATGCAAGTGGGTAGAGCTTGTTATGAGAATCAGGTATTAACAATTACAATAATTCAGTTTTTGAGTAAGTTTTATGAGACTCATTTGATTTTGATTTTCGCTATAGGTACTACATATGCATACATTGTTAAAAAATTGAACCATCATAAAAATATAAATGTACACAAATAATGTTCTTACCATCAAGTTTTATAATAGATCGATTAATTTTTAATTTTTAATTAACGTAATGATCGAAGCAACTTTTGAATAATTTGGACATTTTTAATAAAAGTTATATCAGCAGAGTCCTAGACAGCTCATAAGTGATTGCATAATTTTTCTATCCCAATATGTTGTAGAGTTAGCATAACACATGAATTTAATTTGGCTCAAGAAAGTCAAATAAGTTTTTGTTTGAAACCTTGAACAGGATATTACTCAAAAAACATTAAAATAGAAACCACAGTCAATAGCTATTAAATATAAGAAGCTAAGTGAATGAWTAATGCTCATAGAATCAAAAAATATTCWACTGATGTAGACATTTAATCCTGGATGAGTTAGCTAATTGATTGAACCAATTATTTTAGAGTGGATTACCTACTACAAATAATATTAAAACTACAACTGCATATTTCTTATTTCTACTGGTAACGTATCATTTGGTCGGTAAATTAAATGTAGTACAGATATAGCTCGACTTATTYAGGTGCGATAGATAGCAATAATATTAATTTTGTGTTAACGATCAGTGATCACATATTTAAACAATTGTAGATTCTGAACGAAGTGATGAATGTATTGATTTTACAATGATGTGTGTTTTTTTTTT